GAACAAATACTCCGTAAAACTACTGTAATAAAAATAGGATAACTAATAAAACATGTATGAGGACCTAAAGGAGGAATAAATGTGAGTAGAGGAGTGAGGGTGGGTAGGGGCGAAATCACAGGGTTGTGCAATTTGGTGGGTGGAGGAAAAGGGGAAGATCCGGCGGGGACTTGAAAAGACAGGGTAATGGTGGGCATAGCCCAATGCTGATTAATTTTATAAAACATAACGCATGGGAATGATTGTATGAAACAAAATGTGAATGAAGAATAGTGTGGAACACAATGTGTACAATCTTTGTAAGAAAACCAACATAAAAGAAAGAAAGAATAGTACAATATACCATAATTATCATCATGATAAAGCATTGGAAAATCATTTGAGTCTAAAAATTAGCAAAATAAAAAATTGATTGTAAAGAGAAATTAAAGGAAAAGGACTCCAAACAAACAACTTACTTCTGAAAAACAAAAATGAAGTAGGACCATAGCACTCCCTGGTCTCAAACTCTACTATACAGAGGTAGTAATTAAAACAGCATGGTACAGGTATAATGAAATGCATACAGACCAATGGAACAGAATCAAGAACCCAGAAATTAACCCATCTATCTTTGATCAACTGGTGGTTGTCAAGGAAACAAAACCTATCTAATGGAGAAACTACAACCTCTTCAACAAATGGTGCTGGCAAAACTGGACTGCTACCTGTAGAAAGCTCACACCATACACAAAAATCCATTCAAGGTGGATCAAAGAGACCTAGGAGTAAAACCCAAAACTATAAATATCATTGAGAGACAAAAGAGGACCAAGCTAGGAGGCCTAGCCTATGGTCTAAATAAGCTGTCAAATATAGCCAGAAACACACAACCAAGAGTGGATAACATTGATGAATAGCACCTTCTAAAGATTAAGCACCTTGGTGCATCAAAACCTTTTTCCATTAGGGTCAAGAGAAAACCTAATAACTGGGAAAAAATTTTTGACCATGCCATCTCAACAAGAGTCTCATAACAAAAGTTTACAAACTACCACTGGGCCTCCACAATAAAGGGACGGATAACCCAGTTACAAAATGGGCAAAAGACTTGGAAAGACTTTTCACAGAGCAAGATAATCAGATGGCCAACTGACACATGAAGAAATGTTCAAAATCAATGCAGAGAGATGCAAATCAAAACCACATTGAGTTACTGTCCAACCCCAATTGTTGTTTGTGGTTGTTTACCATCAAGTCAGAATCGACCTATAGCTGCCCTTCCAGAGGGTTTTCAGAGGCAGTTAATCTCATGGGAAGATATTGCCCATCTTTCTCCTGAGAAATAGCTGGTATATTTAAATTGCATGCCTTCAGGAGTGCAGTGCAGTTTCTTACCACTATGACACCAGAGATCTCCTCACCCCAGAAACAGTGGCAAAGTTTAACAGGACAGCAAACAACACATGTGGAGTGATCAGAACTCTCATACATTGTTGGTGGAATTGTAAAATGGTACAAACACTATGGAAGGCAGCTTGGCATTTCCTCAAAAAGCTGAACATCGAAATTTTATATGATCCACCTATTGTTACTACTAAGAATATATCGCAAGGAAATTATAACTGAGAAACAAATGGAGATTTGTACATAAATGTTCACAGCAGCGATACAACAGCAATAAAGTGGAAACAGCTCTATCAACAAGTTGTGGTACATTCACATAATGGAATATGATGTAGCACTTAGAAACAATGATTTTGAAAAATATTATATAACATGGGAAAGGCTATGAAACACTTTGCTGAGTGAACTAACTCAGTCTCATAAAGACAAATACTGCATAAGATCATCATTGTAAAAATAGAAGGACCATTACGAAGATGTGTATAAAAGTCCAAAGGGAGATTGGGTGGGGCAGGAGGTGAAGAGGGGGAAAATGAAAGGTCACAGAGTTTGGAGGAGGTAAAGGAATTGGGAAAGATCCAGTAGGGACCTGCTAGAATGGGGTAACTAAGAGCATAGATCAATGGCGATTAATTTTATAAAACATAGTGTATGGGCATGATTGTATGAAACAATGTGAATGAAGGTTAGTGTGAAACTCATTGTATATGAATGAAACACAATGTATATGAATTTTGTACACAAACCAATATAAAAATTTTAAGATATTTAAGAAAATTGCAAAAAGAAAAAATAAGTAAGTAGAAAGGAAGAAATGAAAGAAGGGTGAGAGTGAGGAATGAAGAAATGAATGCAAGAGAAAAATGTGTTTTAGCTTGTTATCAACCTCACTAAAAGCAAACTCACTGCCAGGACAATTCTTACTTCTAACAGCCTTAGTGAACAAACAGGGGAGCTCAGGTTAACAAATCTTTAGGGAGCTTCTCTGCTAACCCAAAGGCCATTCATCTCTGGCGGGACAAATCCATTAGCAGCTCTGCAAGAGAAAGATGAAAAATTTCCTCCTGTGTGACTTACAGCCTCAGAAACTCAACTGTGAGTCAGTTCCGCCCCAAGGCAATGAGTCGTTCTTTAAGTTGGAGAATAAAACAGATCTGCTCAACAGGTTTTCCAAGGTTTGACATCTTTAAGGAAACAGATTAATATATTTTTCTCTAGAGGAGCTACTGATGGGTTTGAACCATTGACCTTCTTATTAGGAAAGAAATGCTTCAATAACAGTACTACAATAGAAGAGAGATGTCTGGGAAGAGATACTAATTTCAAGTAAATTAGGATGTGGAGAGAAAGCTCCAAGAAGTATCTTAAGCTACAGTGGAGTTTGCTGAATAACAGAGGCATGACAACCATTTGATTTCAGCTCTATGGCACTGTTCAGGTCATCTGTGGAGATAATTGCTAAGTTTTCCCAGAAATGTGATGTGTACATGTTGTATTAAAGATAAGATCTCGCTTCTATCAATAGTGGATGTTTTATGGTATATCTTATTAAGTCAGCTTTGTTCCCAGGCCATATGCTAATCTGCCCCAGAAAACACCTTACCTCACTTCTAAGAGTGAGTGGCTTAAAAATAAAAATAAAAATGGAGATATAGAAGGCCAGCAAAGGGTGGGTTTGAGATGTCTGGGTGGGTTAAGTGGGCACATTGGACAACATGGCTTCTCCTTTGGCATTTTTAATTGTGATGTTTAACGGACATGTTTGCAGTTTAAGATGACACTTTTGAAATAAAATTCTCTCCTAATGATGACTTGAGCCCTGCCACTTGATGGGAGAATCAGCAGAACCTGTAGGATCTTATTTGGAATTGTCATTCTCTATTGTAATTTTCTTTCTGTTTATTTTTAAAATTTCATTTTGTTTCACTGGAAAGAAAAGATGATGCTCAGTTTTATACATTAAAAGTGTACAAGTTGCTTTGTTACAATAAAACTAAATGTGTACATGAGTATTTGATGCTTTTCTCTTGGAACAAATAAGACCTTCGAGTTTGACTTGTTCAATTTTTCATTGTCAACCTTTGTCATCTTGATTCCGTATTTTTTGATGCACACGTTGTGAGTTGATCTCAGGGCTATGTGGAGTGAGTAAAAATATTTGAGTCAATATTAAAGACTTCCTAACTGGGAAACACTGGGTACAATTTGCCATTGGTTTCTGGAAATGTTCACATCCCTGGGGATTTAGATTATATACAACTCAAAGTTTTAGTATATTTATATGTCCTTGATTTTGATCTCAAATTGGCAGTTTTTAATAGAATTGCCCTTTCTTTCTTGGGTGTAATGATAATAGTATCTGCCAGCACTATCAGACCTGGTGCTCTAATGTGGAGGCACACTGGGCAGTGGCTGGCATGTCTTCACTGGCACTCTAATGTTGTGATGTGCCTCACAAGACAGCCATTGAGTCCATGTTGGTGGTGAGAAACTCAGGAGTACCAATCTCAAATGCCAGCTCTTCATAAAGTTATCAAGTGAGACATTTATGTGACTCTGGGTAGACACTGCTCAGTCTGCTAAATGCCACTGTGCATAAAGTAATTTTTGAGACGCTACCTAATACATAAGCTTTTTAAATGCTGTAAAATATAGTAGCTAAATCAATGTCAGTTATGTTTTCAGAGATGAATCAATAGCCAGCCTGGTTCAATTCAAAGCCTTTGATGTATAAAACTTTTTAAATGAAAATAATTCCATCAAGAGGCAAAGGGTAACACAACTTGTTTAGATGGATAGTATGTAATTTCTCTGCACAAGTCTTTATATTTAGTACATAATTGTACCAGTCAGAAATTTTGCTCCAATAAAGGTACATAAAAATTAAATAAAAAGAGTGAATGGCAGAGTGTCCTCCTACACATGTGCGAAAGTTCTCACATTCCCCCCGCCCCATCTACAGTGATGAACCATCCCTTCTTTGTACTGGATATGTAGATGAAGATTATGTTGTACCTTATCTAATTTTAAATATTAGTAAATTTCTTGCTCTATTTCTACAAAATGAAACTTTCTTAATTCACAATTTGAGTTAATAAAATGTTTTCTCTATTAGATGGTTCTGGATAGGCAGCACCAAGGCAAAACCAGAAATCATACAGGAATTTTTTCATTAGGATCGATTTCTTTATATCAGTAAAGTGCTAATAAGCACATCACACTCAAAAACTGAAGGTTGAACAACTTAATTTAGGAAACAGAGGTAAAAATAATAGTGGCCTGTATTTCAAGGAAATTAGTCTTTGGAAAAAAGTTTTGCAGTTTTTACTGCTTTGGCTTCACGGAACTATGTAGTGTTTGAGTAGATTGGCGGAAAAAAAGGACCTTCTCTGAGAATATGTTATCCTCTTGACACCTTAATGTAAAGTAATAAGGTACCTTATATTTACATGAGACGGATGATGCTAGGTTTAGTAAGCAGCATGGAGACTGGGTTTCAACAGTCACTGGTCAGCTGTGCATAAACTGAACAATCATACTTAGTATGCCTGTGCTTTCAGCATCTGATATAGCCCCCCCCCCGCCCCATGATAAATCTTCAACAAGAGTTAAGCATTTAGGGGAGCTCTGGTGGCCTAGTGGCAAGGAGCTGCAACTACAATCCCAGGGGTGCACGGTTCGAATCCACCAGATGCTCTGTCGGGGAAGGAGGGACAATCTCCTCCTGTACCAGTCAGATCTGATTTGATGGTACACTCACACAAAAATAATAAAATTAAAAAATTAAAAGAAAAAAAAGAGTTAAGCATTTGAGGCTTGGATAATTGGCACCACATTAAAAGTCCTATTTAAAATCTGAAGATTTATCTCTAGTATAGTAAACATAAGGACACCTGGTTGTTGTTGTGTACAGTCGAGTTGGAACACAGACTCATAGCTAACCCACCAGTGGTTTTCAGGCAGTTTAATCACAACTCCTTATCCTAAGCCATCAGTCAGGAATGATAGCTGGTGGCACAGTGATTAAGTTATCTGCTGGTAGCCAAAAGCTTGGTGGTGTTTCTCAGTGGGAGAAAAAGCCTGATACTCTGCTCCCATAAAGAATACAGTTTATAAAATCTTACCAGCCAGTTCTAACCTTTCCTATAAGGTCCCTGTAAGTTGGCACCAATTTTAACAGCACACAACAGCAGCAAACATAGCTTGTGGAAACTATTACTTGATGCACTACTCGGGCACCACTCAAAATAATACTACTGTTAAAAATATTTTCTTTTTAATATCATCCCTTTCTTAAAATTTCAGGTGAAAGTAACTTTCCTGTAAATCTCACTATTTGAAAGCTGCATCTTGAATTCATGTAGATTAACTTATTGAACCCAGAAAATTTATTTTGGCATTCTATACTTTTTTTTACTATTTCCTTTGACATTGAAGCAAGAAGAGCAAGAATACTGTTGATCATTCATACTTCCTTATAAATAAAGATTCATTAGCAATGGCCTTTCTTCTTGTGATCTATGACTAATGTATTATCAAATATCAATCTACAATGACCTCTCCCCAGGCTACAACACAGATTAATTTTTCAAATAATGAAGAATTACTCCTCCTACACTATGGGCCTCCACTTTCAAAGAGAACAGAAAGTATCAGGCACTTCTTTCCCATCTAGTTTTCACATAAGTGCAAAAAGTTATGGTCTCTATCCACACTTACATTTACCGAAAAAGTGAAATGCTTTCTATCACATGTGAGAGTGCTTGTGCTTCCATATTTTATGCTGCTATTATTACAAGACATCTTAAAAAGTCATTTTAAAGAGGAATTTTACCACTTTTGCTTTTTCTTCAATCATGTTATTTTGCAGATAATTTAACAAGTTCATAGGAAATGCAATATCATGGGCCTATTCTGTTTGTGTGGTTTTTTTACAGAGGTCTGAAATTGTAAATAAAGTTTCTTTAGTCTTGGTGTCTTGGAGGAAGTATAGCTGGGTGTTCTTTAGAGACAAGGATAGCTAAACTTGGCCTCACATACTTTGAGCATGTTGTCAGCAGGGACCAGTCTTTGAAAAAGAACATCATATTGGGAAAGGGGGAGGGTGAAAGAAAAAGATGAAGATCTCCAACAACATGGATTAACACAATGACTGTAACATTGGCTTCAGCATATCAGAGGCAGTGAGAATGATGCAGGATAGGGTCAGGTTCATAGGGTTGCTATGAGTCATAGGTGACTTGATGGCACCTAAAAAGTTTTAGTGTAGAAAGTTTTAGTAAAAAGATCTTAGAGAGTTGAGCTGCTAACTAAAAAGCTATGCTTCTTTGATGGTTTGAATGTACTACTATTGCTCACCAAGGGAGAAAGATCTCTTCTCATTGTGGTTTACAGTCTTAGAAATCTGATGGAGGGTCACTATAACTTGGAACCAAGTAAAGGGGAGTGATGTATTGTAGGTTTTTATTTTGGCTTGGTTTGTTTTTCGGTTTTTGTTTTTATTTTTATTTTGGTATCTAGATGTGGTGCTGGAGAAGCACACTGAACATATCGTGGACGGCCAAGAGAACAAACAGGTCTGTCCCGATTGCTCCTCTTAGGCAAGGATTTTGAAGCTCTGTCTCACAAACTTTGGGCACTTTGCCAGAAGGGACCAGTCCTTGGACAAGGACATCATGCTTGGAAAGAAGGAAGGACAGTGCAAGAAAAGAAGACCCTGGATTAGATGGATTGACACAGTGACTGGGAGTAATGGAGGCAGGTGTTTTGGAGACAGTGAGATTGGCTCAGGATAGGGCATAGTTCAGAGCTATTGTTCTTAGGGTCTCTGTGAATCAACTCAAGGACACACAACAACAACTAATGTGAGCAAAAAACACTAAAATTTAATTCTTGAAAGTTTTCGAACTGGCTTTGTAGAAACTCATTTAATTAGACAAAAATATTGCTGCTCTTTGAAAAGGTCAAAATTCTTTAACAGACTGTGAGCTATTTGAATACAAAAGCAAAATATACCATGACAGAGAGTATCCTGGGAATAAGGGAAAAGTAAATCAAAGAACAAAGCAAAAGAGTTTAGTCAAATTTGTTCTCATCTAGTTATTGTTGTCTTTTCAATTTCCTGTTTTCTTTCCCAAATGGTTCCATAAAAATATCAGGTGCTTGTCTTTCAATACATAAGGATTAATAATTTTAAACTCAGAAGAGATATCTGATTATATTTATGTTTAGAACATCATTCTGAGATGGAGTGCTTCTGTTCTCCTTTTTTCACCTCTCTTATGCTTAATTGAATAATTTATTTCAGCCACCAATACCTTTTTAGTATGAACTGGAAATATAGTTCAAGACAATGGCTACAATTACACATGCAAATTTAACATGCAACATCATCAAATGACATAAAATCAAATTGGGTGAGACAAGCTTTGTCCTGTTATCAAAAGAATTAGTCGTAGGGAACTGGTAAAAGCAATCCTGGGAAGCATTCATGATCTCTAGAAAGGGAACAATTAGAACCTCAGAGGCTTTGTGTGGAAATCACAACATTCCATTTCTAATTTATGGAACACATCTGAACAATACCATTTGCTAATTCAAGTGAAATTACGAGGACACTTTTGATTTAACAGAGTGTCTGGTGCTTTCTGTGCTTTAGAGATGACGTACAGAAAAAGAGGGGTTCTGAGATGCTCTTCTTAGATGATCCTATCACTTCCTATGACTTTACCATCAATTTAGGAAGGCTTCCAAATGTGTGCCGCCAATGAGATCTTTCTCTTGATTAATGATAACACTCATTTGGAAATTACCAGGGAACTTTAGATGTAGCATTTTCCATGCTCTCTTGCCATGTACAACTCTCTTCCTCAAACTAAATCCTGTTTTTTCTCACCTGGGATTAGTAACTTAAGCAAGAAATCGGTCTTCATTCTTGACTTCTGTTTCCTTTGTCTCACAAATATGATCATTTATCAAATCCTATTGAATTTTGGTTGTTGTTATTGTTAAGTGCTGTCGAATCATAGACAACTCCTAGTGACCCTATGGATGAAAGTCCTCAACACTTGCTTGACTTTCATCCTTTCTCCAGGTCATAGGGTTTCTGGAGACAAGCTATTACTGAAGTGGATGCCACTCCTGTTTCCAAGCTTGTTTTAATCGAGGAGCTCCACCAAACCCTGTCCACCATGGGTAACCATTATCACATTTGACATATCAGTGTCACAGTGTTCAGCTTCGCAACAACCACGAGTTACCTCTGTAAGCAAGTGGACAGACAAGGGATATACGACCTAGAAGAATATTTGACCAATTAAACAATCAAAACAATTAAAGACGGGCCTGAGGGCCACGGATTAGAGTCACCCACCTTTGGCTTTGTAGCATCACTGTCTGTCCACTAGGCCTGGTTTTAGTTGTCAATTCAGAGTAAAAATTAAATGTTTTCTTAAGTGCCGTTGAGTAGTTATAAATGTCACCCCTTCTCATTTATCTGCTTTCATTAGCCTCTCCTACCATCTTAAAGCCATAAATTGCTTAACAACTTCCCACCAACAGTGTTAATAGTGTATCCGGATTGATTTTTTTTTTAGAATGTGAAATTTATTGTCACCCTTATGATTAAAACTCTTTGATACATCTGTATTTACCTTTGACTAAAATCCAAAGAGCCATGATTCCTTGGTTCAGTTTGCCTTATAAAGTCAACCATGATGCCAAGGATGATAATTCTGGCAAGGATCACGGTCTGCATTCCTTATCCTAACCATATCTTGCTCATTACCCAGAACATACCATATTCTAAATAATATAAATATTTTTGCACAGTGAATTCTCTTTGGCTTGAAAAAATTTTAATGTTTCCTCATCAAACCTGGTTCCAGCAGGCCGCTCAGAGGAGGGGTTAGGCATCCAACTAGCTGAAGGCTGGGCAGCTTAGAGGTCAGCCTCAGACCCCTCCCATCTCCCCAGGTAATCGAAGAAGCAAAAACCACGCGACATTCGTTCCAGCAGGCCGCTCAGAGCAGGGTTTAGGCATCCGACTAGCTGAAGGCTGGGCAGCTTAGAGGTAATCGAAGAAGCAAAAACCACGCAACATTCGTTCTGGCCCTCGGGCCAAGAAAAGCCTATCTACACACCAGTTCTACAGGAAGCATCACCTTTACTCGGGAAACATTACGACTAAACTTCAGAGACATTGATCCCAACATAAGGAACTACCATCAGCTGATGTGTTTGGAATCACAGAAGCCATGGAA